AATTATATCTTAATTCATTTATTTTATAGAACATTTGTTTTCCTCGGTTAACCTTTACCTAGAAGTTATCTATTTGTCTTAGATGAGATTATTTTCCTTACCGCGTTTCCATTTATCACATCTTTTTGTAATTACAATCTGCGCAATTTGATGGTTAATGGAAACGCTGCTTCTGACTGCAGGCTCACACTGACGGAGATGTGGGCGCAGCAAGGAAGCCAAATTTTTCAGATCAGCCATGATGCAGTGCTGAGTGACTCAGAAAGAAGCGAGCAGTGCCCTCCCTCATCAAGTTCCTGGATTTCACAATCCAAACATAAAAAAGTCCCAGTGAATTAAAAAAAATAACTCTGTGCCAAGATGACATGTGAAAAACAAAAAGGCAAAAAAAAAAAAAAAAGAAACATGAGGAAACGCAGGGCTACTGGATGGTGAAAAAGAAGTTTATGTGCACAGATGCCATGTTTAAACTCTTCAGAAACTGTTTTTTATATATTCATCAAAAAAAAAAAAAAAATTAAACCAGAATTATATTAAGTCAAATCTAATTTTAAGTTTGTTAATTGTTTTCATAACTCAAATCTTGAATAGTTACTGTTTTATGCAGAATGGGGAGAAGGGGCCCGCCCAGGGGGCCATTTATGCAAGAAACGCCACTTTAAACGTAACCCTAGTTAGATTATCAAGTTCAGTTAAACACAAACCCAAGATGTAACCTGTGAAAAACAACAGTTTAGTTTATGTTTTCTATTCTAAACCACTGAGAGCATATTTTGCATTTTTTATAATTTCCCATTTCTTCTGATTTTTACAGCAGATATATAAGGAATGTCTGTTTATCTAATGCAAAATCAGAGATCAGTAGAAAAGTTGCGACACCCATGTATGTTACATAAGGAGAAAGTAGACAAATCTGCCAACAAAGTTTTCTCTCTATCATCTCTGATTTTATGGTTGAAAAGTAAAAATCGCTGCTTCTGGTTTTCCTCACCGTGATCCTGTTTTGAACGTCCATGGTGTCCGGAAAACCCTCAGAGCTGCGGAGAAAGCGCTGTTTCTCCGGAGGAACTGGGAACCAAACCCAGCGGTGGGGATGATCATGGTGAGCAGCTGCAGAGCTCAGACAGCTCCAGGCCGGGAGGAGATCCTGCACTCTGAGCGCTCAGCAAACTGCTTATCAGGCTGCAGACTCACCAGATACTCGAACCTTGAACCCTCAGACAGGGCTGCACGCTTTCATTGTTTTTTTAATTTCTTTAACAGGGTTGATCAGATGGGGGCGCTGTCTCCCCTACCCAGATCCAAACTTAATCATATTTACAGCACTGCATTTCCTTTACATTTCTACAATGATAGCCCAAACTGTGAACATCTCATTGAACTCAAAATGCAATATTTAAATGAGAATCAGCTAAGAAAGTGATGGTAGCTCTGGAGGAGCTGCAGAGAACCGCAGCTCATGTGGAGGAACTATTAATGATTCACTTCACAAATGATAAAAGGAAAGGTGTTTTTGAAATGAAGCAAAAAAAAAAAAGGCCAGTTTTTAGTAAGTACATAATGATTTGTCATTCTTCACTATATAATGAGGATCAGATGAGATGGAAAAATGTAAATTTTAAACCCAACAGAGAGGCAATAGCCACAATTCATAGGAACAAGGAGGAAAATATACAGCAATGATGGAAGGAACTAGAGACTGGGGTGAACTGCAAGGGGCTGAGCTAGACGAGGGGCCAGGGGTGGCCATGTACCCTAACCCCTTGCTCACACTGGCTCCGGTGCAGTTACCGAGCCGACGGAGACCGCAACTCCCACACACCCCCTCTCACACCGCCGTTTTGACTACGGTGCGGTGCGGCTCTGCGGCTCCGGCAACAGGTCCGGAGATTTAACAGAAGTTCACTTGAGTTCACGTAACTTCACGCGATAACACGGCCCAAATAAAGGATTTTTGCGAGAGCTTGTTGCGGAGGGCTCCGGCACGCCGCAAGGATAGCTTTCTTGCGGAATTTTCTGTAGCGCCGGAGTGTCTCGGTAACCGCAGCCGGACAGCTCAGCAGCCGGTGAGAGAGGTTTACGTCTTTTTAATGACTTGGAATCCTTGCGGCGCCGCACACACCACACCGCAACGGTAAGACCGGAGTCTGTGTGAGCCTGGGGTAAGGCAACCCCCTGTGGCCACCCCTACCATTTTCCCTTTAATACAGACGGTGGCAGCAGTGATACTCTCAAGTGGAATATTCCTGTTAATTTTTAATATTTTTTCATGTATTCATAATTTATTGACAACAAAAACAATGCGGCTAATTATACACATCAATATACTAACATTAAAGACAGTGAATACAGAATTCATTCTCTTTTCAGAACTAGATTTTGTGTTATATGGGCTAAAGAGAAAATTATTTGTCTCTGCAACTAATCTAGGAGTCTTCCGTGAAATCATATGTAAAGAACTATTTTAATAAAAACATATGAAATAATCCATTTATGTAGATATTTGTACTTGTAAATATCAATTTTATGCATAATGATTATTGATAAAAGTAGGTTAGTAATGACAATGGAAAAAAGGTTTGCCCCAGAACTCAAACCTGAAAGTATCGTATCTGCTATACATTTTATCAGAATCAGAAATACTTAAATAATCCCAGAGGGAAATGACTTTTGTTAAAGGCTCCAGTTACAGTTTTATATATATATATATATATATATATATATATATATATATATATATATATATATATATATATATATATATATATATATATATATATATATATATATATATATATATATATATATATTCATCCAACTACACAAGATAATAAAGATAAAAATAAAAAATATAAAAATATATACACATATAGCCCTTCTGTGTGTGTGTGTGTGTATATATATATATATATATATATATATATATATATATATATATATATATATATATATATATACATATGTATGTATATATATGCATATGTAAAACTAAATCCAAGTAAAGTGATAAATCCAAGTAAAGTGATAAATCCAAGTAAAGTGATACGTGGCGTGCAAAAATAGTGCATAAATGTCAATTACAGAGGGGAGGTGTCTGAATCACTTGAGGGCAGGCGCGCTGGAAGCTGTTTCAAGCGAGGGGGGCTGATGGCTGGGTTGGAAAACACATGACGTCATTATGTTGAGGGCTGTGGCTGACGTTTTTAACATAATATTGTAGGCCTACATTTGTCGCCAAAAACTGCCACTTAAAATGCATCGGAACAAAGCATGAACATTTTAAACTTTATTTCTTCTCTTTTAATCATTCAAAACAAACAACAGCTCCCAATCAACAGGATCAGGAATACTTGAATAAAACATGGCCTAAATATAGCCTAAACTGAGCATTGAACGTCTTGAAAGTTCATTCGACTATGGATATGGGGAATAATTTCATATCTGAAACAAAAAACACACACACAAAAAAAAAATTAACTAATTTCATATTTTATCACTAAATAGCTTAATACAGACATAGAATTTAGTGATATGCAGCCTTATTCTAGCGTAGACTTCTTCAGCCACAGGACTAAGATGAATAGGCACATAAATAACGCTAAATGCGGCAGTATAGGGGAATTAAAACCATTTCTTACCTCGAAATAGTCAGAAATACGTTTCTGCTGCCTATTGCTAGCCATGCCTAAACGAATGTGAGGTGGCGGAAGCTTCCGGGGGAGTAGCCTAGTTTTTTATGAAATATTAAAATAATGAATCATTAGTTTATATCTTATACACAGCCCATCATTTTAATCCCATATCAAACATAGTCTTTTAAAAAATAAATACATAAATAATTTCATGTTTTTAAGTACAATATTGTGTTACTCCACAGCCCCCCACCATGGGGGGCTGATGCTATGACGAGGGAGGCTGCAGCCCCCGCAGCACCCCCCTTCCCGTGCCACTGCTTGAGGGAGGCGTTATAGAGATTGATGACTACAGGTAGGAATGATTTCCTGTGTAGCGCTCTGTGGTGCATCTGGGTAGGAGGAGTCTTCTGCTGAAGGAGCTCGTCTGCTGGACCAGTGTGTCATGGAGAGGATGTGAGTCATTGTCTAAGATGGACTGAAACCTGGACAGCATCCTCCTCTCTGCTACGCTCGTCAGAGTGTCCAGTTGCTCCCCCACAACATCACCGGCCCTCCTGATCAGTTTGTTCAGTCTGTTGTCAGCGACCCTCAGCCCACTGCCCCAGCATGTGACAGCAAAGCACAGATGTTTAAATATATGTGTCTATTTGTTAGCAAAGGTTTAGGAAATTATAGTTAGTCTTATCTTAGGCCTGACCTTGAGGTTCTGGCGCCTATTCACTTTCAGTGTACATTGGTTATTGCCTGGCCACCCTTATATAAATTTTCTGGCTACACCTCTTGTGAACTGGGGTTTATATCCTCTTCATCGTGGGCAGGGACTGCATTAAGTGAAAACGTTAATCCAAGTGAAAATCCTTTGTAAGATTACCGTTTGCAGATAACCTTTACCTAATCGGAATGAGCTTCAGCGATTTAGAAAATAAGCAACAAAAAAAGTCATTATGTGAATGTGCAAAGCAGGTAAAGACAGAAGAATGACACAGCAAGGCTGAATTCAAAGGCAGGATTCTGGTTTTTATTTGGAAAAATATCATGTTCTGCTCACATTTTTGCCTCCTGAAAAAAAAAAAAAAGTTCTTTGTAACGAGATCAAATGTAAAAAAACAAACATGAGGTATGATGAATGTTTATGGAAGCCACTGTACATTCCACAGTTTATATGAGGTATAGAGAATCTACCAGTGATAATTTCAATCTGGTAATAATTTTAAAATGAAATGATGATATTCTGTAGGAACAGATGAGAAATTTAGAAGTAAATCCAAGTATATGTACATATTGGCATTTGTTGTGCATGAATGAGAATTACAGAGAGCTTAAGTGTATAGAAATTTGAGAAAATATAAAACATTTTTTTTTATATATATACAGAAAACAATTTTACTGAAACAAAACACTCATCAAATGTCCCCATCCCACCTTCTGCTTTTCTGTTTCACTCATTATATACAATCAACCAAGCTGTTTCAAAGATACAGCAGCTGGTTTTTAGTATTTCCATATGAAAGCAAATGTGCATCGATTTCTATATTAAAAAGGGTTGATAGAAATTATTTTTCATTTTCAAAAGGAAGCTGCATAAACTGCCACTTATAAATAAAATTATAAATAAATCATCCAAACTGCATTTTCTGTTTTTCTTCTCCAAGATTGCTCAGTTTGTGAATTAATTAGAATTACAAACTAAGTTTTACATTAAAACTTCATCACATTCCCGGTAAAATGTGACCACAATATACTTTAAAATGAAAAAAAAATTTGAAATTAAGATTAATTAACAGATGTGTTTTTTATTCAAAAGTCATTACTACATTTTTTTTGACTCATGAATAAAATATGTGATAGAATATTAAATCTACCCTTCAATTAAATTTCTCAAGACTGCTTATTTTGTTACTTAATCAAAATGATTAAGAAAGTTATATTTAACATTTAAATATATACCACCATAAATTGACCAAAATTCCAAATTGTTACCATTAGAAATTTTCTTTGTCAAAAATGCAGCTCTGCCTTTGAAGTGAAAAAAAAACGTTCTATTAATACGTTAATTTAGTCATTTTAAAATTAATTCTTGTCACATTTTTCTCAGGAAAATGTTTTTTAATTATCATTTAAATTAATAAATGAAGAAAAATGGATTTAAGATGATTTATCTTTAATTTGATTTGTAAAGTCAAAAAATGCAGCTTTTTAATGAAAATAAAAAAAAATTTCAATTAGAAAACTGGGACACACTTTCTTCCATAAATTTTTATATTTAAACAACTTTCTTCATCTGCTTTCAGAAAACAGCTCCTCCTTTAAACGAAAGTAGCCTCCTTTTTTCTTCATGAGCTCCTGGTGGGTCCCCTCCTCCCTGACTGATCCGTCCTCCATGAAGATGATGTGATCTGCCTTTTCCACAATCCTGAGCTGATGAGCCACCATCAGGATGGTCCGTCCACGATTCAGAACCTCATCCAGAACCTGTCAAATAAAAACATGCAGGTCTGAGCCGAGGTCAATTGTTGGTGATTGTAAATGTTGGAGGAATCACAGATGTTCCTCAGGTTTTTTTTTTTGTGAAGCTTGTTGGTTCCCTTCTGGATTTTTGATGTAGGGGTCATTAGGTTAGAAATGTTACCCATTGTTACATGATCATAGATTTTCTACTTTTTAATCTCGAGTGGTGAACATGAATCAATTCTCATTAACCTGGTTAATGAACTTGCACAAAAACGGCTGTCAAAGGCAAGAAAAACATGACATTTACACATTTATTTTTAGACTAAATCACGTTTTATTTTCTAAACTAATTAAAAAGGGTCTAAAATATTTGGAATATTTCACCAAATTCCCTACTTCTCTTTCCAGACCTGGAAACCATTGAAACTAAATCCTAAACTTCTTGCACCTGTGCAGTGATCCTGCGTCATGAAGATCATCTGATCTATAGAAACAAACCCTATCAAGCGTCTTACTCACCGCCCTCTCTGCATCAACATCCAGTTTGCTTGTAGCCTCATCCAGGATGATGACCTGGGGGTCTCTAAGCAGCGCTCTGATGATGGCAATGCTCTGCTTCTGGCCTTCGGACAGTTTACCTCCACACTCTCCAACATCTGGAAAATACACACTGGTTACTCTATATCAAGGGTCACCACCCCTGGGCACCAAGGGGCCCTCAAGGACCACATGCGTGGCCCTCAGCATCTTCTGAAAACAGAACTCATCAGTGGACTAAGTTTAAAATTTTATTTTATGCAGCTGCTCTTATTGTTTTTTTCATTTATAGAGCATTTCATCATATCAATAATTTAGAACATTTAAGCATTTATACGTATTTCGAAAATAAAATATCTAAAAGCCAATCAGAAATGAAAACAAACAAGAGGAATATGTTTATTATCTATGAAGTTTAGGTGAACACTGACTCCAGTTCAAAGGTCAGTATTGGTAGCCCATCCTATGACTCAGTCCCCATTAGGTAGCCATCAGTCTTATAAAGGTTGGTCACCGTGTGTTGGGAAGTTGGGATAATTATCAGTGATGATGTGTGAGTTTTTTACACCTTAATATTAGCCGCCTGTTGTGTGTCAGAACTGATGTTGTCCACAATAGTTTATCTAATTAAGACAGTTCTTCTGTCCGGATATACAGTTATAATCTTCATTCTGTACGTGGCAAACATTTGGGAATGGAATGAGAGCGGTGTCCTTTAGCTAAGAACAAAGAGTAATATTTTGATAATGCTGGAACCAAGGATGTCTCCTCATCTGCTAACATGTATAATGTAATGATGTGATGATGTGGCATACTGGAGATGTATAAAATTATTTTTTAACTGTTGATTGTGAACACTTCCTGAGAGGTGAGCCCGGAGGAGAGCACCTGCCTTCTGTAAAATCTAAGCAACTTCTCTGATCTGAGTAAGATTACAATTTCTATCACAGCCTATTAAACCAATTAAAAATCATTGGGGTCCGTATAAAGAAAATCATCAACCAGTAAAGTTATACTTTAGATATACTTGTTAACTAGGCCTATTCACTTTTTAACTTTTCAATTAACTTTTTTAATTCTTTCTTGACTTTATCACTTTGGCTTTTTGCAGTAGGTAATATATCATTCATGGGATCATGTAAATGTTCAAATGCCAAAATAAGATGTACAGCCATGTAGCAATATCTTTGCTGAATGGCTGGATATAGATTTTGTGCTTCTAGAACTCACTGAGGGACGGGGGGGACTCCATTTGTAAGGCAAGTGAACAAAAACGGTAACTTGCCCTATAAATGGTTAAACATGGGTTTGAATGAGGACAAAGTCATTCTAAAGCACATATCAAGGTGCTCATTTTGAGCTTGGATCCATATTTATTTTTGTTTTATGTTCATGGTGGAGAATCCTGCTTCACAGCAGCAGGTTGAGCCAAACATCCTCTAAATGTTTAGGGTCATCTTTGAGCTCACCATTTCACTTTTCTTTCACCAGTTCACCGCAGTTCTTCCAGCAGTATTCACTTTCTCTGCTCTCTTTTTCTCATCGTCTTTTCCTACTTTCCCATCGCCCAGCATGTCACAGGTTTGCCTGCTGTGTCTAAAAGTAGCAGCAGCAGCAACCCAGACTGACAGCAGCTAGTTGGCTAATTTGTATCACATGTAGCCTGTTGCTGGACGCTCCGGAGGGCTTTACCGTATTAACAGGAGAAGCAGCGCAAATTAAATTAAACACTGTTGTCTGACAACATGCAGTAATTTATAAATGTTTTAAATCAGGTTGGGTCTGGACTAGCCAGCAGGTGGGTTCGGATCCGGACCGCGTTCTGCGTTCCGCTAATCCATGACCTCTGTTCTATCAGAATCTGTTGTCATGTCTCCTGGTTATTTAATATATATACGTTATGAAGTGTGATTTAAAGAGTTTTTCCCGAGGGATCTCTTCTCAGGAAAAAGAACCAGAGAGATCGAGCTTTAAGGTGCAGACATAGAGCCTATCTTTTTTTTTGAGTTTTTAAAGCAATAGTGGCTCGATTTTCTGACAGTAGGCTGACAGGACAGGGGGAATGAGAGAGGGGGAGAGACATGCGGCAAAGGACTACAGGCCGGATTCAAACCCAGGTCAGCTGCGTCGAGTACTAAGGCCTCCAGACATGAGTCGTGCGAACTATTCACTGTGCCACTTACATGCCCACAGAGCCCATCTTTAACAACAGTCATACTTCTTATAATACAATTACTTTCTAAATGATGGGTTGAATGCGTAAGGGATAGCCAAACACAACGTACCATTAAATTGAAGAAGACTAAGAAACACATCAGACAGATCTGGGGCAGAACAGTGAAGTTGGAAGTATATTAAGGCTATAAATTAATATCACAGTTTAGTCCATCTTCTAAAAATGGAAAATAAAGTTATTTCCAAAACTATTAAAACTGACCGGCTAACTTAAAAAACCCCGCTTAAGGCCCATGGCTGTCCTCTTTCTGTTCTACAGTGATGTATAAATGACCAAAAAATGGTTGATTGTTCAACATCGGACATACTGTATTGATATCAATGATGGACGTAACACTAACATTATCAGCGGATGAGGTCCATACACCAGCTCAGTACCTGTGTCGTAGCCATTCTCCATTTCAGAGATGAACTTGTGAGCGTCGATCTTCCTGGCGACCTCTTTCACCTTCTCCTCTGGAGGAGGTTTCTCCAGACCATACTCTATGTTATACTTCAGGGAACCAGAAAACAGCACAGGATTCTGGGAAACCAATGCCACCTATGTGAACAGAAAAGATTAGCATATTTCTCAAGGACAAGTTGAGCCTTTTCCCCAAGTTTTTTTCTGATCCTCTCATTTTAACAGAAGTCTGAACCGCTGCATTTATGGATAATAAATAAGTTGAAGGATGGATGGATTTCCAAACAATGAAAAATGAATGGAAATAAATGTTTTCTGCGTTCTAGTTTCCATTAGTCTGAAAATGACACCTAATGAATGCTTCATGTCAAAAACAGTAGTTATGTCATTCCATCCAGCCGGTTCTTCAGTCGCTAAATTTAGGCTTTGAATGAAATTAAAATTTCCTTTTTAAACTTTCTCAGCTAACCAATTGTACCTTCTGATGGAAGTATTTTCCTTGGTAACAGTGCAGCGGCTTGCCGTCCAGCAGGATTTGACCGTCTTGAGGCTCATACAGCCTCTTCAGCAGGCTGACGCAGGAACTCTTTCCACCGCCAGATGGACCAACCAGCGCAGTGATCTTCCCTGGACGGATTTCCAACGACACCGACTGTGGAGGAAGAATCAGCACAGAGATGATCTGCTCTGTTTCCAGTCTTTAGCATCTGTCTAAACACTATCTTATTTTTTGTGTGACCTTCAGTAGGCAAATTTAAGATTTATTAGGGCTGTTTAAGAACCACTGGAGCAAAAAATTATACCTTTAAAGCTGCTTTTTCTGAAGGAGCAGATGGATAACTAAAATTGATATTTTGGAAAACAACTCTCCCCTCCAACACCTTAGGAGCCAGGTTTCCTTCCTCTTTAGTTTTTGGTGTCCTGTCAAGGTAACTGAGCACTTTGGAAATGACTCCTACTGTGGACATCGTCTCACCATAGCAATACATAATCTCCTGTGACAAAAAAAAATTTCCCCATCAGTAAAATCCAGCTGTTTTGTAAAATCTCAAACCTATGAAGTACCTTAAACGGAGCTCACCCTTAGATTGACTGACATGGGCTTCTGGTACAGGAAAAACGACACCAGATTACCGATGCTGAGCTGACCAGAAGAGATGAGGCGTCTGGCTTGGATCAGCATAAATATCTTTATACCCAGAGACACCACCTGGATGCAAAGAGAGAAAAAAAAAACAGGTATTAATCCCAACAGTAGTAAAAAATACAAATAAACCACAGTTGGACCAAATATATGCCACAGTTAAACATGCCTCACCCTTCGTATGACAAGATAAACTGCGCTGAATATTGCTGATCGCCTCTTGATGGAGCACAGCTCTTCCAGGGCCACAAGGTACCTCCTGAGTTCCTCTTTCTCTGCATTGAAGCTGCGGACTGTTCGGATCCCGCCGATCGTCTGGGAAGCCAGGTCTTTGCTCTGAGCGTGGCATTCCTGGGTCTGATCTTTTAGCTCCTGTATTTTTTTTTTTTGTCCCACAGAAAGAAAAACACATTTAGTTAACAGGAAACACCAGTAAAGTCATTATCTTACTTTAAAAGTAAAAATACTCATTCCATTAGCAAGTCATCTTATTCACGTACTCAAATTAATGGTAAATACTAGGGGTGGAACAGTTCGCAAAATCCACGGTTCGGTTCGGTTCACGGTGTGGTGGTCACGGTTTTCGGTTCGGTATATGTTGATTGTTAAAAATAAAAAAATTAATAAAAATTAATGAAAAAATAACAATTTATGAAATTAATGAAAAAATCCAAAAAAAATGAATGAATTGTAATTATTTTTAATGATCCGCGGAAACCCTGGATCATTTCCGCATGTTTTGCTGCTTTGAATTTAATCATCTCGTGCATGCCCTCTACGATCTCCAAGGAACTCAGAGCGGGGCGGACGGGAGTCACAATGGAGGCTGTAGGCTTTGCTTTGTGCAGGCGGTCTGGAGCGCAGCGGGGCGGAGCGCTGATGGAGTATGTGGGATTTCGGGGTTAGCATGACATGTTGGTCATGTTGCTGTTAGCATAAACAAAACGTGTTGCACAATGCTTGCACACTGTTGCACTTTTATCCACAACTTTATTTCCACCGTCATCGTAGGTCACTCTAAATGCAAAGTGGTCCCATACAGCAGACCTATAAAGTGCTGCTGGCGCGTCTTCCAACTCCTGTTCTTTCCCACTCGCCATACCCACACAATTCTCCACAACAACTTATTTTTTTCTGCTACACCCGGCTACGCTGCTTCGCTTCTTCTTCTTCTTGTTTACTACTGGTGGTTGGCTTTGGTAGCAGTACCGCCACCTTCTGCTCTGGAGTGTACACGCTTCGCCTATGAGAAAAAGGAGCAGCGCATGAACCGAACGCAACACACACCAACCGAACCGAACGGTTCGGACAGTTTTCATAAACCGTTCCATCCCTAGTACATACACTTAATTTAAGAAATGTTTTCTTATTTCTAGTTTCTATAATGTTTTTGCAGCGTAGGGCTCGACTAGGCTTATCTTAAAGAAAACCTGCAGAGGTGGGCATCTTGGAAATTTCCTCTTTGTCTATAAATCATATATTTTCTTTTTTTTTTCTATAAATGAATGTGATGAAAAGCAATATTACAATAGAAGCATACCTTAAACATTGAAAATATTTTATCTAAAAAAAAACATGAAATAATCATTAATGCTGGTGACAAATGTCACCAAAGGGTGTCTTTTCAGGTCTAAACGTAGCTCAAAAGTCACTGATGAAGATCAAACTATGCCTGGTTTACAACATTTCTATTTATACTACAATTGCGGGTGTGCAGGATAAAAAAAATAATCGAATAGACAGATATAAACATCCAAGGTTTGATTGGCAAATGAATTTAAATGGGATAATGTTAATCTGTTGTATGGTAAATAAAAAAAAAACCCACCTTGGACAAGTTGATGTATTTATTCTGCAATGTGGCCAAGAGAGGCATCTCTATGCAGGTGAGCAAAGTCAGCTCCCAGGACAGGCCCAACATCACTCTGAGCATGAGGACAGTTTTGAACGTACTGCGAACCACTGCGTTAGCATTCAGCGCTACGGTTCGCCCCATCCTGTCCACATCACTGTGCAGGCGGGAGGAAAGTCGTCCTGGATGGTGACAGCGTAGAAACAAGAAAAAAGAAATGCAAGAGCTGCCATTATTAGGAATTTGTTCTATTCATCCATTATTTATTCATCTTTATAGGTTTCTCCATCCATAATTTATCAGTATTAGAATTATAACCTACAGAAAAATGAAGCATATTTTATAATCTATAGATGAAATAAGAGTTTGGTGCTGAGTTTATCAACCAGAACCCTCCAAAGACGCCTTATAACTCTGAAAAGCACCGGAACAACTTCAAAGATGCTTGTACATTTCCATAACCTTCAGAATGTCCAACCTGGGTTGTTCTCCTCAAAGAAGTGCACCTCCTGCTTCAGGAGGTTGTGAAAGAGCAGATGTTTCAGTCTCTTGTTCAGTCTGGCCAAAGAAATCATGAAAAAACCTCCTCTCATGCCAGAGAACAGGGCGCTGTTAGGACAAGGGGACACGTCAGTTTCAAACCACTTAATGATCCGTTTGGCATTAACTGTACGCTACTTTTTCAAATTAAATAGTACACTTTAGTACCTTCCAGAATAGATGAGCACTAGATGTCCGACTGTGTAACCAAAGTCACTTTGCAGCTGTCGTTCACTGAGCATGTCAATGACTTTTCCCTGATATAAAGGGATGTAAGTATCACCTGTTTGGGGAAAAAAAAGGAGAACATAAATATTTCTTTTAAGCTAGGACTTATTGTGAGAGCAACGAATGAAAGCATCGGTTAGAATGAAAAGCACTGGACAATACGTGAAATTACAAGGCTGTAAATAATATATTTCCAAAAGCACACAATGTTAATGTGAGACAACCCTGTCCCAATCTATAATTCTTAGCTGAACATCTTGGAAAAAAATGAACTGCTCAGTGAGCGCCCTCCAGAGGTGAAATGAATAATAGCAGTGTATAAAATAAACAGTCAGCTCAAGCATTTAGCATGCAGAAGTGAGTAAATCACTGTAACATAGGTTATACCTATTTGAATTGTATTTTATAATTTTACTTTGTTGTAATTCTCTAATTCTTTTAGTTGTAATTCACTTTTAGAGTGGGTTTGTTTTTATCATTTTAATAATCCCTACTTTTAGTTAAGTTTTCATTAGTTGTGGTACTAGCTTGAAATTTTTTTAATACTTTAATTTAGTTTAAGATATGGCCAGGTGATTTATTGATAAAAATCACGAAAAATGATTTCACTTTTTGAAAAATCAATACATCTTTTTTTTGACACCAATGCTCTTCTTGGACTTCCATAGCTCAGGGTGAAATCTGTCAATTTTTGTTCTTAGATGTGTACTTAAAACCACTAAGCAAGCCAACTGTATAATAATAAAACTACCTGCAAACATTTAGTTTGCTAAATTTTAATAGTTTGTTGTGAAATTTTGTTTTACAAGCAGTTTTTTCGTGGCCCATTAAGATCCTCACCGAAACAGGATGATTAAAACAAAAGCTCATTTTAGAAGGATTAAATATAACCCAGGACTAGTTTTAGGTGCAGGATTAAAAAAGGTCAGAGTATACCATTTTTGTATTTAGTTTTATAATAAAGAAAGACTCTATATAGATACAGTTTTAAAAAGATTGATCAGTTACTTAAGTAAAATAAATTGTGTTAAAATAAGCCATGTGACATAGCTTTGCAAGGCTTTTAAATAATTTTATAAACATGGACACAAAGGATAACACCTCAAAGGACATTATCACACACCATTTAGAAAAGGAATAAATACTGAACCAATTACCGTATTCATATGGTTTTTTTTTTTACAATTAAAATCATACTTTTTCAGAAAAAGGTGCTGAGTGGACCATTTAAAGCTTGTTTTATGCGTTGATCGGAACTTTTCTACTGGTGTCTTTTAAGGCTTTTTAACAGACATCCTGCAGCCAATCAGAATCAAGTATTCACCCAGACCATGATATAAAGTGTATGACATTTTAGGTGGTTTTATAAATTTAGAATACAGTCGGGTTTCCTTATAACTTTGAACCAATCAGTCTGTAAATTTCCCTGAGATAACACTAAACGCTTATAGCATAGCATAATATAAATGAATTATGTTATTGGGTAAATGCTGGAGCATTTCTGTAGCACACACAGCATCATTGTGTATTTCAGCAATAAAAGCTGTAGCAGTACAGCATATGTGCAATATAATGCTGAAGTGTTACTCTTTGCCTCAAAATTAATCTTATAACTATTAAAACAAAGGCCATGAACACAATAGGGGTGTAATGGGGGCAAAATTGTGAAAATCTCCTCCAGCTCAAGCATTTTAACAAATAAATAAAGCAGTTATACATACAGATGACTCCCATGATGAGGAAAGAAAAAGCTGTTATCAAATAAACGGTATCTGGTTTGAAGTATCTCAGCACTCTCATTAGCAAACGTTTGGTGTCCAGATTGTCTTTCTTTGTCTGTCCATCACGAGAAATCCATTTTTCCCATATTAAACAGGCCACCAATGAAGACGTAGAACCCAACAAAAGCATGCTGGGATCGAGCAAAGGTCCTGTGTATCGTTCCGAGGGAAGTGCAGTCAGGATCCGTCCAGTTTCAAACACAGGAGAAATAAGACAGAGGAGTGCTGCGAACCTATAAAGCAATGCTCTGTGTTTTCCACTTGTCAGCACTGCGATGAAAAGATGGAGAAAAGCCCATTTTATCAGTCCGAAGGCCCACAGTCCTGCCAGTCCTCCGCAGCTGGAACATTTGAGCAGCAGCAGCCCGGCCCACCGTGCTGAACACAGGAATCCATCCAGAAGAATGATACACAACAGCCCTGTTATCACTCCCATCACTTTCTGTTGATGGTTGGCCAGACTGCAAAGGCTTAACCTGGTTTAAAAGAAACAATAATCACACAAACATCCATTTTACTCACAGGTCAAATATGTTTGACTAGTAAATCTCTTAGAGCGACAACAAACATGACATGCATGGATCAAGAAGGGATGGTATACCCTTTCAAGCATGCATTTTGGCTCCCTAAAAGGGGCCTTTAGCACACATTTTGGCTCCCTATGAGGGCACTTTAGCACACATTTTGGCTCCCTAAGAGGGCACTTTAGCACACATTTTGGCTCCCTATGAGGGTACTTAAGCACACATTTTGGCTCCCTAAGAGGGCACTGTAGCACATATTTTGGCTTCCTAGGGGGCACTGTAGCACACGTTTTGACTCCCTAAGGAGTTACTTTAGCACACATTTTGGCTCCCTAAGAGGACATTTTAGCACACATTTTGGCTCCCTAAGGAGTTACTTTAGAACACATTTTGGCTCCCTCAGGGGGCACTTTAGCACACATTTTGGCTCCCTAAGGAGTTACTGTAGCACACATTTTGGCTCCCTAAGAGGACATTTTAGCACACATTTTGGCTCCCTAAGGAGTTACTTTAGAACACATTTTGGCTCCCTCAGGGGGCACTTTAGCACACATTTTGGCTCCCTAAGGAGTTACTTTAGCATACATTTTGGCTCCCTCAGGGGGCACTTTAGCACACATTTTGGCTCCCTCAGGGGGCACTTTAGCAAATATTTTGGCTCCCTCAGGGGGCACTTTAGCACACATTTTGGCTCCCTCAGGGGGCACTTTAGCACATATATGGGCTCCCTAAGAGGGCACTTTATCACACATTTTGGCTTCCTAGGGGGGCACTGTAGCACAAATTTGCATTCCCTAAGGAGTTACTTTAGCACACTGTTAAAGAAAAATGATTATTTTTAGACTTTATTACAGTTAATCTTATGGCATGTGTAAACACTCTCACTTGAACATATTTCTTAATTTTGAACAAGGCTGTGTTAATGATTTAAAACTACTAATGGGTAAGTATTTAGAGCACCATACCATAAAATGAGTATCTCCTGGGGGCGAACATTATTTAAGCCTGCAGGAGAGATTTCTGCTTGGTTTACAGAAGGTCAAAAGTCTTCCAGAATAAACAACCAGGGATGGTGAGGCCCCCGCATTCCACAAGCTGTCTGTGGGAGCTTATCTTGTGTTTTATGACCCTGGGAATTCTAGATGCCAGGACAAGCTTTCCGCCTTTTCTTGTTAAAATAAAGAAGCAAATGACCCCAGATGTTTGCAGTAAATAAGGGGAAGCCCTAGCAGTGTCAGAGATGGCTTTTGGTTGGAGGACCGAGGGCCAGCCCTTTTTGAATGGATTAGATACAAGAGGATAAAGCTTTCTAAATAGAAGAAAAAGATCAGATTTTGCTCTTGCAAAATTTCCTCCTCTTTCCTCCTATGTCAGGTAATGGAATGTATGTCTCTGTTGTTCTGCAGTTTCTGGTGTAGGTTTGTGCATTGTCTTATTTCTAAGTTTATGCATTGTCTTATATTGGATTAAACTCTGTAATTCTGTGATGTCAACACGCCTTGCTGATTTTCATATTACCAAACGCAGCTCGCCGGGTGGACCTGGAGAGGGAAGAAAATGAAAAGCCAACCTTTTTCCAAAGTTAACTATGTTAGAATATTTTCTTCCTTTACAATTGGGGGCTCGTGCCGGTTCTGGAGTCTCGGCGAGCGGCTGTTTGGTCCTGATTGATCCGTTTCGGCCCGACGCTTCGGTGTGGTAAGACAGTATTTGATTATTTTTCAGTTGTCTGAAGCGCCGTGTGGTCGGACCGGGGCTGATTTGCTGTGTGCGGCCTCACAGAATTCAGAAGCTGCAGAGGTAGATAGGATCCCTCCTAAATGAGTCGGTTGTTTAAGGATTTGAATAAATACACATTACAGGGAACTGTGGCTAGTTCAAACAGAGCCTTTACGTTAACTCTGACTTAAGCTGGGTTTTAAAAATGTATATTCTTTTTACCCTGAGGAGCAATGCCTGTGCCTCTAAAAAAGAATTTCGGGTGTCTGTGTATTAATTAGCAGGGGCTTGTATCAGCCCGGAGATTTCGACTCATCTCCAGTGGACTTATAATTATTTGGGTTAATTGGATCGAGTTGTATCACTCATGGAAAAGGACTAATAGCAGGTTAATTGGACCGAGTTGTATCACTCGTGGAAAATAAAGGACTAATAGCAGGTTGGATCACCTTTCTTTGGCACCCTTAATCGGGTTGCTTATAGTATAAAGGACTAAAATGAATTATTTGATTTAATACGGGTTCAATCGCTCTCCCCAGCTGAAAAAGAAAAAACCTTTTGTCACTGGGCGGATTGAGTGATCGAATAAACTAAATTGAGGCTTATTTTCGCCTCCAGCTTGACCCAGCTCTGAAGTGTAGGACTGAGAAGTTGAAATGAGAATAAAAGGGATTTGTAAAATTGAAATTGGACAATTAAAAGATGCGTCATACATTCTTTTAGCCGGCACCTGACGTTTTCTTTTCTTTTCTTTTCTGTCTTTTCTTGATTGAACTACAACGTTGTCTGTGTTTCTGTGTTTTGTATGTTTCTTAGTGTTTGTGTGCGTGCTTGGCTGCGGGTTGATTTATGGCTGTGTGTCTGTCTTCCCCCGTTATACTGTAGCCTATGTCCCACCACGCGCTGCTGTCTATTCGTCTGTCTGTGTCTGAATTGTGCTGAGATTGTGCGGAAGTGATTTGTGTTTCAAGATTGTGTTCTGAAATATTGTTAAATGTTTTTGCTGGATGTTGTATTACTAACTTTCTGTTAAAATGTGCTTCTGTGGGACAGCGGTGTCTCCGTTTTGGATGCAAGTTTTGTTTCACAGCAGGGGGACTGATTGACCCCCCTTATTTGCATTTTGGGAGTGCTTCAGTTCTGTGCTATTTCCAGCTCACGCTTTCAGGATTCTTGGATTTTGATGTGAATTGCTTTAGGACTGTGTTTTGTGTTGAAATGAAAAGTACAAAATAACAGATTTACAGATGTTTTTACTTTCTCAGCGGGTGAAATGTGTTGCATCAGTTCCAGGCTTGAGCACTGGAATGATCCACTTGTTTATTATAATACTGTAATATTGACAATCACTTAAATTTCTAGGTTTCCTGACAGGATGGAACACCCTCACTGATTGTAAGAGAACAAAAATGAGAACATATGGATGTTTTTCTGCGTAACAGTGTTTTCTACACTGTTAATGTGGGACATGTTGAAACACTAATGAATGACTTTGTTTCTTGTAGGACGGTCTTCGTGTGCAGCCCATTTCGCATATTACATGACCACATGAACGGTTTTTGGGTTTTCCTACAGGGGGTCTAGGTAGCCATTTAATAACAGTGGGCTATCATGAAATACGGTTGTGTGTATAATTTGGAGTTTTTAAAAAGGTTCACTCAAAACTGAACAATATTAGAACTATTGGATAATAATGTCTTTTTATTATTTTTTTTCAACCATGGTGTTATAATATTTGTGTTTAAGACTTTTACAGGATGAATTTTGGTTTGAAATCTGGGGTAACATCCTGCATCTTTCTTACAATGTGTTGATGAGTCTGCTTGAGTGTGAATGAGAGTGAATGTGTAGGCAGATGGCCTTTGATGGGTTTTAGGATGCTCTATGTAAATATGACCTCAGTTTAGTGTGTAGCTGTGTGATATTTTTCTTATTTTAAACTATTTAGGTACACTGAAGGTTTTGTTTCATAAATATGTTTTTATTACTGCTTTAAGGGACAATTTTAAGGTAATGACGATTTCATATTTTGGTGTCACAATCTGGTTGAAGCTGAATCATCTGCTTGTGCAGTGAAATTAATATGAAACGAGAATTCAGCCTTGGCTTAAAGCAGATAGATGTAGTTATTAGGAAATTGTGTTATCCACTTTGACTAACAACACTAACAAACTAACCTAAATTCTAACTAAATAAACTTGGTTTATATTTCATATGGGTGACTGATTGGACATGTTGAAATTTTAGCATAATGGGGGTAAGTTCTTCCATTTTTGTTTTTCCACCTCTAAATTGTTTTTCTTTTGGAAATAAGAAAACACAGGGGGATGTTATAAAGATAAGACATTACAGATGGAACTTTGAAATTTACATAATCTCAGTCTAGTTTGAATACTAGATGGAAGATTTGGAGAAATGGTGGAACATCTTATGATATTTTGGTTTTTCAGCAAATTATTATATAAAAGTGACATAGATTCCAAATCGTTTTCAAAATGAGAATTTTATTATATCAACAGGGGGAGAAGCAGAAGTAGACCCTAATTCCTGGTAAATTTCTGGATATGGTTAATGGTAAATTAGTTAATCAATAATTTTGATTTTTTTCGATTCAACAATAGTGAATTATGGATTTCTTTAATGTAGAGTCATATGGCCTTCCTGCTTTACTACAATATGGTGTATGTGATATAGAAGCTTCTACTAAATTAGATTTGATCATCTCAAATTGAACGGTTTCAAATAACATCTATGCCATGTCTATTTACATTTAAAATTGTTGATAGATTTCTGCATCACTGCTGACTTTGATTATATACAGTTGGGTGTAAATTGTTAATTTTGAGGAAAATTTTGGTTAAAACTGCTATGAAATTCAGATAAAATGTAAAGGATTTCTGAAATTTTGAAATAGGACTTTGTCTTGAAGCGTGGGACAACGATAAGGATGTTTGGTATTTAGTAGAACAATATGCAATTCATAATTATTTGACCAAGGGCAATTCCATCACAACTTTTATAAGTATCAGTACTTGGACATTCTAGAGTTTGTTCTAATTCTTTAATGAGTTTGTGAGGTTTTGATTTTAGAATTTGTAGTTGATATTTGGCACAAGCAGAGTGAATGTCATCGAGGTATTGACGTTTATTGATGTTGAACAGTAAGTGTCATTATTTTCTTAATTCTGGCACATCCGATCGTGGACTATTTTAACAAATTTCTATCTATTCTT